CACTTAGGACCATTTTTCGCCGGAGTTTTTAGCCCTTCTGCTCTGTTACGATAGCTCAAAGACCCAGGGAGTTGATCGTGTCAACGATTTACACAATTTTACCAATCTGGGGGCCAAACAATCTCCTTTTTCAAAAGATACTGTGGGGGCACTTTTAATGCTAATGAGCTGGCCAGAAATTCTCACTTAAATTAGTGGTCTGCACCCATAGGGAGCGCGTACATCCTGCTCTTTGAAAATGCTGCACGCGCACACGTGATAACAACCGCAACGGTACACCACCTCAACTGAAAAAAGAGGAGAGTTACTAACATCCTTTTTCATTTATTTTTTTATGGTTCACCGTTGGAATGTTTCATCTTAAACCTAATCAGAAAGTGAAAAGAGGTCGGACAGAATTTCGTGCTCATCATGTAGCCATTTAGCCCTTCAGACCGAATACAAAACTTCATTTAAATAACTACGGATTTCCATATACATTTTGGGGGGGTTGTTATGCTCCAGACAGAACATATTACCACACCTTGCCTTTAATAGTCATTATTTATTCCTTTCCTATAACCATGTAATGTTTACTGCACCACACGGCAGCGCCCGAAACAGCAATGCGGCAAACCCCAGCCCTCTCAGGTAACAGACCCACACTCGTGACACCCACTGTCCACTCAGAAACTCAGACAATCCTGGACCAAAATAGTTGGAACACCTTGTGGGAAGCGCGTTGCAAAGATCCCCCTCTCCCCATTCAATGTTGGATACGCCGCTGCTCCCATCCTTTAAAGTTAAATGTAAAGTTTGCTGACTGCACTCATCCTCCCACGTGAGGTCCGACATCAAGTTACCCCTGGACACAGTGTCCCTATTCACGTGACTATTCATTATGAGATGACTCGCCCTTTCCTGGTACATCTACATATCGCACACGTCCGACAAGCGGATCTAGTATCCGTTACGCAGTCAAAGAAGCGGTTGGAAGAATCAAGAAGTGCACATTTCTCCAGGTTCAAGTCTGAGTTATCAAGCATTCCTGTGTTTGATGAGACCATCTATGGCACTTGTATTATTACTCTAACAGCAACTTACCCTTTGGCAGGCATACTTGTTAATTTTCATAAGTAAACCAGGCTAGTTTTAGGATTTAAATTGGTTTTATGATTTGAGCAATTTTGATCTCTACACACTAAAAAAAAGGCGCTTAAAGTTTAAGCCAACGACATGAAACGCGTTCGCGAATGTGTTTAACTTATAACCGGATATCACAAAGCTGAACGTGTCCAAACGCATTTCAGAGGAGACGTCGTGGGTTAAGCGTGTTTTAAAAAATGCATTTCAATTGGGGATGCTGTTTACAGTGTTAAAAATTTATTTGCCGCGCTTTTGATCATTAAAAATAGAAACAGTGCATTTACAATTTCAAATTTTTATTACGAATTATAAGTGTTGTTTATATCACTCTGGTTATTGGTCCAGAAAAAGCTACATTACCATACCTGGTCATTTACCCCACACCGCTAGTATAAGACGACTCTAAACCTTGCTTTCTTCTGACAGAGAATTTCCGTTTTAAGCGCTATTGCCTACTCACGCCATTCTATCTAGGCATTGGAAGAAAGGTGCTAATCAGAATGAGGAGAAATTCCCTTGAGAATATATTGGTACTGTCTAGTTAATAACTTTGCTGGAAATTACAGTGCATGCGATAAAAGGACGATGCAATGCAATTAAAGTACTTTGCACAGAACAAAATCGTTGGAGTGATATTTCCATATTTACTTTTCTTTTGCCCATCCCAAATATACATACCATGTCAATTAGCCCCTCTTAGAGGTTGCTCAGTGTATGAACTACGACAAAAGCTTCTCTCAATGTACGTTGTCCTGATTAAGGTAATGGGCGTTCGTATCTTAAGGAATAGAAATCTAAGATTCGATACCTACACTCCTCCTCCCACGTGATGACTGACTTCAAGTTTCCCTTGAAACAACCCTTTTCATTGGACTTTTCCTCACGAATCGGTCTTTCTTGGTACATTTATTATTTTCATTACGGTTTATTACAGACGCAAAGGATCAAACAGCAAGTCATAAAACTAACAATGCCTGAGCTACATATAACAATTAAGATAATTTGAGAACGAAGCTAAAACTGTAACTATAAGCGAAAGTCAGAAAACCGCTAAATTCATGAAACTTGTACGTTTAAGCCTTGATTAGCAATGTCACACAATCTTACAATAACTTTGTAAACATGCTTGAATGCTGAACATCTGGTGTCTAATTCCTTAACATCAATATCCAATGGCTAAAACTATCCATCAAACCCTTAACACATGTAGCATATAAACATGTTTACAAACTGATAGCAAGAAAATGTTTAGAAAATTGTTCATTGACTAACCACAGTTTTTGCAGTGTCATAGTAGTTCCTGAAATCTTTTCCACGATTCTGTCTGGTCAGCCTACCAGGCGCCATCGCAGGGTCAAGTCAAAGAAACAATGATAACTGTTATAAGGTATAACTGGTTTCCGAAGCGTCGCGGAAACGACCAAAAAGTGCACCTGTGCAGCCTAGAAACGACAATATGCAATGTAATACCAATCATTTTCTGTGTAGTTTTCCATATTAAAANTGAATCGCCAGAATGTACATTAAATAGTAATTGAATTGAAAAAAATTACAATAAAGTGTATATCAAGTTGGGACTGTATATCTAAAGTTGGGACGAAATACGAATCGAAATTCATTGTTTTTTTCTTTTATTTGAACCATCAACGTATGTTGAAACTGTGTTTTCCCGATTAATTTGATACATACAGTACACGTGTTTTGACAGAATGCTACTTCCTTTCTTGTCCCAGACTTTTTGGGAGCTTAAGTGAGGAACTTGCATCGAACCTATGCCATTATCGAAGTTGTCCAATATGTGTCATGTAAAAGTGAAATTGACCCAGAAAAATTAAGCATGAGATGGTACACCGAAAACGGCTGTCGCTGTATGGACTGATTTAGTGAGAGTGAGATTATAACAGGTTTTAGAGCTCGATATCAAAACATAGGCCAATGTCAACAAGGTGGACGAAGAACTGTTATAACTTGAAAAATGAAGTTCTGTTAAAGTCGCCCCAACAGTTACTGAAAATGCACAGTAACAGGCTTGCCCGTATGTTACCCCTTCCGCCACATTGTAATTTTATGTCAATCGTAATTTGTTTCATCAGTAAGCTTGTGATGTAATCTCAAAAATACCGGCTTGACCGTTGCTGGCTCTAGTGGTAAAGGATGACTTGGGAAATGTTACCTATGACCTTGAGCATATCTAGCAAAGGAAAACCACGAAGTAAGAATGTTTGTTGGCCTGGCCTTGAAACGCGTATTAGGGGAAGTAACAGGGTGTCGAATTTTGCCGGATTTTCCTCTATAGATCAAAAGTTGTAAATGATTGAAAACACATATGGCAATTGAACTATTTTCCGAAAAGAGTATGAACAGAAATCAAACGATCCTTAACACAAACTAAGTTTCCTTTCCCCTTAGATTTCAAGGCACGTCGAGCAGTCGAGCAATGTGGCAGCTCGGTTTCTTGAGGAGTAGGTCGATAGCTTCAACCGATGGAGAAAGAGTGGGCCAAGATGCCACAAATCCACAGAAAATTGTTTTGTTCCACCAGTGAAAATGCAAAACAAACATCGGTAAGATGATGATGTATCTAAATATCTTAAAAAGGGCAATGAAAACTATGTTGGTTGTATGATGATTTTGTGACAGGCACATTACAAAGTAAGTGGAGTAGAAGGCTTGTGGGAAAACATACCCAAAATTTAGATTTAAAGTGGTATATTGTCATCTTTCTGTAAAAATTATGAGCCATGGGCCAGTTTCCAATACTCAACTTCGGCTCCGTCTCAGGCTTCAACTGTTTTTTTACTAGCTGACTTTGAAGCTGTAAGCACAGTAATCGGTCTAATAGTGCCACAGAACATTAAATAAGATGCAAGAAAGCCAAAAATTACAATAATCCAATGTGATTTAAACGCTTCAGGCCCACAATAGGGGATTGGTTTTGCGGAAACGAAGCCTGAGACAGAGACGAAGTTGAGTATTGGAAAACGCCCACGATGTCATCGATCGGTGTTCGGGTTATCAGACGTGGAAGATGATCCAATATAGTTAACCAATCAGAGCATCTGTATTAATATTCAGACCACGTGTTACCTGAAAGATCCGTCCAACGTTAATGTGACCAATCCGAGGGATTTATGATGTCACTTATCAAACTACAACCAATCAAAATCAAGCTTGAAGTTTTATATGGACTTAAATCCTATAAATATCCCGCGCGGTTCGATTTTGAGCTGGTATACGCTGTAGACTTGGTAAAGCGGCAGTGGTTCATTCCTTTGTAGACTGTGAGGTAGGCACATTCGATTCTTGCTATGCTAGGCTTTTTCTATTTTCTCTCCTATGGTCACCAAATTTTTTTTTTCATACTATACCACGCTCGTTTCATTGCCACGGCTTGTGAAGTGAAGCTGGTGAAGAAATTTTTTTAATTTGGGCAACAGTGCGTCTGCTAGAAATCGAGCCAAATTGAGAAATCGGAGGCAGGTATTACACTGTCTTAGCTACCATATAGTACCATGCAGTACGGGCATTAATCAGTTTTATTTAATTCAGTGCTTCAATAGTAATAATATTTTTTTTCGAATTCTCGATGATGTGATCAACCATAGTTCATGCCCATTCAAAACATTTTCTCTGATTATGTTGACTGTATTCTTTTTTTAATAGAAATTTTGTTTAATTAATTGATTACCTTTGTGTTGTATTTAGTTATCAGTACCATGTACATGTTAAAAATGGAGGTGGAACCGTTATGAAGCGGTAGCCACGTGAAATCCCACTTAATTAAAGCATTCCAGGGGTCAGTATCGTCTACTGTTGGGTGAAAACATCTTCAATGATTAGTTATGAAAACCAAATATCTAAAAGGGTACACCACGACGACAAAAACATTGAAATGATTTTCTAAAGAATTTCTTTACTCTGTTCTTGTTCAGGTTTGGTTTTCCCCGAAAAGCAAGCGACAACATGGGCAGCAACAATTCTGTTAATATTAATGGCCATGGCAACGTACGTAAAGATCCATTTTGCATGAAACTTTGAAAAAAAGCTTTGTGTTTTGTCGTGAATTTTCCAAACCTTTTTGCGTATCATCCTAAATTAATCATTTCTATTTGGCTTGGCCAAATACACGGCTCCTTCGTTACTAGACAATAGTAAAAGCATGTAGAAAAAAAAACCACAGCGTGGTATCATAATTCAGTTGGCCTACACGTTGTTGTCACTTCCAGTTTTTGTCAAAATTTTCATTTTTGGTTAACAGAAGGTCGAAGCTTAGTAAAAGAATTATCCGTACGTCTTTCTGCACCATCACAGGACTCGGTGACCATTTTAGATCACTTGCACGACATGTACAGATTTATCCTGGGTTGACATCATCGTAACAAATGCATAAGCGTACAATTTGAGGACGCATGTCGAATGACACGTTACCTTTATTATTTGTTTTCGAGATTGATCGGATCCTGATTTATACACGTTCACTTGTTTATTTTATTTCATTCATTCATTTTGTTTGTATTTCTTGGGTGCTAGACGTTAAATGTAAATCTCATTTTTTCGGAACTGTGAGGTTTGTATTAGAATCCCACGAAATATGACTTGTATTTTCACTAATACATTTTCACAGCACATTAGCTCCTTTTCAAGAGCTCGAAGGGCTGGGTCTACGTCTACCTGTGTGAGCTACAGCGACTCTGTGAAGGAATTTGAAGTAGGGGACTTAGTGGAGGTTACACTATTCGTGCCTGAAAGAGGTCGCGGGTAAGTAAAACACGCACAAAATTCTTTAGTCGGTCAAGCTAACATTGAAAGTGGCGTTAATTGTTCATTTTTTAGAAGTTAAAAGCATCAGTGAAAGAATGAAATGAAATATCCTGTAAATTAAATTAGTACCCGCCTACTCTGATGAATAATTTCATACTTGTGATTAAACATACTTCAGCGTTTTACACCAGATTAAAAAAAATTTAAAGGGAGGGCTTGGAACCCACATGAATTTAAAAATGGCTTGCGATATTATCTCATTCAACTGTTAACAATTCATAAAGCACATTCGATGAACACGATCCAAAATGGCTTCCTCGGGAATAAGGTCCGTTGCGTGAACGGGGACAAATGAAAATGGGGAGGTTTGCATGGTTTTTACCAACAGGAATGACTGAAACAGAGAAAATCAATTAGACATTATGTGAGTGAACGAAATGCGACGTCATACAACGAAAAGATACTGTTGCAAACTCACTGATGCCACCAAAAAAAATTTGTCTTATGTTAAGCTGACTCTGTATATCTGCTTTTTTTGTATGTTTGTATCAGGTTGAACATTGGCTTCCTGGCTGGCATCGACAAACGGGAAGACGATATTGCCCTGCTCATCTCGGCAGATTTCTTCACTAAGCAGTTGAACTTCTATGCAAGGAAGGGGCAAAGATGGGACACGCTGCAAACCTCGGAGAAGTTTCCCTTCGAGCAAGGAGGAAAGGGCGTCATCCAGATCAAGTACATGGGATCTCACAATCAGGTACCTATGGTGAATGAAAAGGTCTAAAAAGATGTCTTATTGGAGCCAATGCAGTCAACGCATGGCTTGATAGATTTGATTACTAAAGTTTAAAGTCTCAAAAAGATAATTTTGATCATTGATTATTTTCTTCTATGTTTCCAGAGCACGTTTTCCCCATGAAGAGTCTTTTGAGCTTTACGAGTGATTTAATACCCATATTTTGATATAATCCTTTGTAAAAAGTGTCGAGGAATTGTTTATCGCCAATTAGCGGTGCATAAAAATGTTCCCTTTTACACATGGTGATTTGAAACACGCGAAAGACGCACTTACTATAATGATAGTTCTCTTGCAACCAAACTTTGAATATGAGAAAATCCAGATTTAACAAATCCCATCTTAATAAGTTCAGTACGGCGTTCGGAATGGTTCAACCGAAAAAAGTGTCTTGATTTAATGCGAAGCTTGCTGGCCTGTTCTTTATGTTGAGAGTTCATAGATTACTTTCGCACCCATTTTATTTCTCAAGGTGTCTGTAAACGGCCAAGAAATCGCCAACCTCAAGCATCGCGTTGACCCCAACTCCGTACAAACTATCTTCGTCGAGTCTGATGTACGCGTCGAGAGAATTGATTACAGGGTAAGTGGATGAAATGAACTTTCCATCTGAATAACAAGATGTGAAACTGACTGGCAATGAAGAAACGACTTCTGTGGGTTTTCAAATAACACTACAGAGAACTGGTGAATGTTATTGGAAAACGTCTTTTCCTCTTTTTACAGTAAAATGATGCATGTTTTCCACTTTTTCATTTTGCTGTTTGACATTACTTTCCAGCCCTTTAAAGAACGTCAGTAAAACGGTGACAAGGACGAAACAAGATCAGAAAGAGATGTGGAATAGGCAGGACAAGGAGCCCATGACTGCCATGGAGGAGCAGGAGATTTAGGAATGCACATTAATTTCTTAACATTAGACTTGATGCAGACGTTAATTTGGTACCCATTTTAAAACGTTCAGTGTACTATGTTTGTATTAAAATTAGACCTTGCCTATTTGTTCTTGGTTGTTGATATTTTTCACTTCATCGTCTAAGTTTTTCCTTCTAATACGGGCGTTTCATAATATTGCGCCTCCAAGAGTTTGCAACGCGTTGACCAATCACAATGCGTGAAATCTGTCGACCCTTTCCAAACGCACATTGGGTCAACAGGTTTAGCGCATTGCGTGATTGGTGAACGCGTTGCAAACTCTTGGAGGTGCACTATTGTGAATCACCCGTATTGAATAGCGTAAGTAACTGTCATTACTGCAAAGAGATGAGAGATAAAAGTTTGAAGTGATATAATGACCCCCATGTTAAGATCTCGATTTTCGAAACTAAAAGGATACTACGACACGCCCCTCTAGGGGTCCGGAGACAGGGCCCAGGAAATATTGAGGCCCAGGATGCTTAATCCCGAGTAAGAATAACACTTAGAACTTTGGCATTTTATTTCTCATGTTATCCATCGGAGGCCGGGCCCGAACTTACTCCCCGTGGCTACCTTTTTTAATATTAAAATTGAAAGCGCCACCCACATAACAACTGGTTTTAACACCCCCATACACTTTTCAATCATTTCTGCCCCCCCCATTTTTTCCCTGACATTTTGTGATTTTGCCCTGAAACCTGGATACGCAACTGAGCTGAACAAAGACTGTCAATCTCTTTTGTTTTCTCTGGCTGGTTAATAGTTGAGCACTCAGAATCTATTTTGACCACATAAAACAAAAATAGGGAAGCAGTGATAAAATAAAACCAGCATTTGAAATATCTTGATTGTTGTTGATCTTCCAAGTACCCTCGTCCAATATCGAGATGTTTTTATTTTCTGGTTTATTTTACACAGTATCAGCTTTTTGTCTTGGAGGCCAAGTTCAGTTTATAGTTGTTGAGCTCAACTTGCAAAAGTGATAGGTTGCAAAATGATTATCCACTTGTTCGGACCGATTTTCCCCCTTTAATTTAGCTTATCATCCGCAGTGGACAAATTAAGTTGTTAACATGTTAATGACCATTACCTGCCTGTTTTCTTAGTCTAATTAGTTTCTTGGTGTTTGAACTTGTCAGTTTCAACGTCAAAGAAGGATTTGATACTGGGAAAGAAATGTGCATTGTAGAAAAAATAAATTAGATTTATAAAAGGAATCATAGAAAGTGAAAATGTTTTACCTCAAACCAACATTTTTTCATTAACTTATAATAAATAAGACTGTATAACTCCTTGACTTGTGAAAAACTACGAGTACTCAAAAAAGTTTTCCTCAACATTAGAAAATATTTACCGTTTTCTGATCGTTCCGATTATGTACCATTTGCATAACCCTAAAAGAGTTAGTTTATCGGGCCATCACAGACGCCGAGGAGGGTAAAATCTGCCACTAATATTTCAGATGTCCCAAGACCGATCCTTTTGATAATACATGTAAAGACACTGATATTGTTAGTTCGTCTGTGAAGCTTTCATTCAATCCGACATTTGCTGTGGTTTGCCACTACATGTATGCTCATTCATGCCCTCACATACTTGCAAGCATTCCGCGTGAAGTTAGACTTGATGTAGTCGTGTTCTGTCCATGAACTTCAGTCGAAATCAATAGGCGCGGCTTTGGTATAAGTAAGACGGTTGGTCGAGTTAGGATAGTCCATCATCCAAGAGTTGGATACGCAACCAACGTCCCGCGCACGCAAAGGCAGAGATGTAATGATCACAGAAATTTCGCACATGGAGAATAAAACTAAGCACGCGTCCAAAGGGACAGTTAGGCCTAACGTCATGCTTGACCTATGTCAGAAAATGAGAATTGTACGTCTGATTTTCCAGCAATAGGTAATGAAATAATAGAAAGACATTACTTAACACTCTTGAAGCTCGGTACAAGGAGTGCACCCTAACGATATCGACGAAAATGGCAAGCGGTTGATTCCGCACCCGTTTGGCTCCGTGTTCAGAGTTTATCGTAGAAAGCAGGTCTGCTGACTTCGACCATTTTAGGCTTATTGGTTGAATAACCATTTTCGTTATTGAAGCAGCAAACTCACGGGTGAAGTAAACCATGAAGATCTGAGTAAACCTCTACCTGCCTCGTACAACGTTGCTCCCACTGCCATGATCTGTGGTTGAATATTCATCTCCAGGATGGCGACCCACGGTGCGCACGTTGCAAACGCACCAAGTGACAGAGCACCGAATTCTTCCGCCATGGCAACATAATAAGGGGACACCTTTTTCCCCGACAAACTAATGCTCTCTTACCATGGTATTTCCCGATGTGCATCTATACCAATTAAGTATAATATCGTCTCCCCAGATCTGCTCCTCCTTGGGGTTGTTCAGCGCAACTATAACAAGATCATACGATGAGCCGTGGAGGTTGCACAGGAGAGAACGACTCAGAGGATTTAATGACTGCACTCATCCTCCTATGTGATGACGACATCAAGGTACTCTTGGCCAGAGGCACATCTGGCATTTGTCGTGTGTGTGTGTGTNAACTAGCTGATGATGCTTAAATCCTCCTCCCCGTTACGCATGCGCCACAGGGGATTCGAATGTTCAGCTGTATCAGAGCCAGCAGTTTAAGGTGAAGTAGTTAAGGTGTGTGTGGTATATCCTCCTTTTTTGAATAAAATATATTATAAAAAAGAAACTCCAGGGGGGGGGGACTGAAGCCCCTGGACACGGCCTTATTCATGTGACATGTCATCATGAGGTGACTCGCCCTTTCCCGGTACGTCTATACCATGTGCACCCCCCCAGTTTCTGACATCTTCACCGCACGCGTCCGGCAAGCTGACCTTGCACATGTACCTGGTACCGTTGCGTGGTCTTGTTTTACTGCCAAGTCAAAGAAACGGTTAGAACATCAAAAGCTAGTTTCCGAAGTCTTTAGGGATATGTTATTCATCATGCGGAAACGACCGATAAGTGCATTTGCGCGGCCTGGAAACGGCAATCTGAAATTTAATACCAACTATTGTCTCTGGAGTCTTCCATGTTTAAACGCGGATAATGCGCCAAAAAATCTGTGTGCCTTTGTAGTGTCTGAAGCACCTGTCAGCCATTTTACCATGCCGGATATGGTTGGCTCGCTTGCCATTTGAACTGTTGATGCCACGAACAATTTGGTAAACGATGGCGAGCAAGCTTTTGTGTTACCTTTGTATTCGGTACGGTATGTAAGATGGCCACCGGCGGCTTCAGACCTCTCTGCGCGTATTTTTTTTAATTAATTAATTTTTTTACACAAAGTCCGTGTGTTTAAAAGGGGAATCCTCAATACTTACAGAGTTACAATTTACTATTATAAGTTTGGACTGACGCGCTAATGGACCACGAGCTGGACCAAGAGAGGGCGCAATTTTCTAAGCTTATAGGTTGAAATTTAATAATGACTCTCCATCTCAATTTGACACATATTTGGTGGACTGATATTTCATTTGTCGTCCCGAGAATTTCGTTGGGCTTAAATGAAGAACTAGCTTCGAATTTACACTACTAAATTTCTTTTTAAAAGTGTATCAGGTAAAATATCTTAATCGTTGTTTGTGAAGATTTTGTCTCGTGTGTATCCGTTAGGGTGTTTTGAAAAAGCGAATTCCCTTTGTAATTCAAGTTGAGGTCTTCCCTTATTTAATGGAATACTTAGGTTTACATAGTTTAGATATTGTGCTCGAAGATTGGTTGTAATAGGCCTAATCCCGATGAATGCATTGGACTATGCATGGCTGGTCGTATAGTGGGAAAGGATGACATATAGGAAATGCTACCTATGACCTTGAGCATACACAACAAAGGAAAACCACGAAGTCAGAGGTTTGTTGGCCTGGCCTGGGAAAGGGTATTGGAGGAGGTAAGAGGGGATAGAATTTTTGCCGGATTTTCCTCTAGTTCAAAGGGTGTAAATGATTAAAAATCATATGGCAACTGAATTCTAACGCGCGAAAAGAGTTTAGAGAGAAACCAAACAATCCTAGATTTTATTGAAGATTCATTAGATTGCATTCTGGGACGAGTAAATCCACATCTTCAACCAGTAGAGTACGAGGCAATCATGGTTCTACAAATCCACTAGAAATTGTTTTGTTCTTCCCACGAAGAAGCAGAATAGACATCGTCATTATGATGACGTATTATTTCAAGCAGGGTGATGAAAACTTGATTTCATTACAGGTTCCTTGCAAAAGAAAGCGGAGGAGAGAGCCGGAAAAACTTCCATGACCGGCTTTTATGAATTACAGTGGTATTTTGTCATCTTTCAGTCAAAAATCATGAGCCATGATGTCCTCAATCGGCGTTCGGGTTGTTAGACGTGGAAGATAAACCAATATAGTTAACCAACCAGAACATCTGCATTAATATTCAGACCACATTTTTCCTGACAGATTCATCCAGAATTAGAGTGTGACCCATCACATGGGTTATGATGTCACTTATCCAACTACAACCAATCAAAATCGAGCTTGATGTTTTAGCTAAGGACTTAATCCTATAAATACCCCGCGCTGTTCGATTCTGAAGTAGTTGATGTACGGTGTAAACGGGGCAAGGCGGCAGTCGTTTATTCCTTTGTAAACCTTGAGGTAGGCACATTCGATTCTTGCTATGAAAGGGTTTATCTCAGTAGTTTCCCTCCTGCTATGATTGTACCAAAGGTTTCTTCATGCCATACCACGCTCATTCCATCGCACGGCTCTAGTACAAAGCATGTAAACTTTGGAGGCTCGATCCCAAAGCAGCCGTCAGCTTCATGCACGCGCAGGCGTCAGCACGTCTAATATGAATGTTCTAATTATTTTGGGGAAACAATGAATCTGCTTTTCGCAGGGCCCATGTATGTTCGGTCCAAAGACATGCGCAATAGTGACACATGGTCGTCGACCTGAAAGATTATTCTAGCAGACGACGCATATCGATGGTGACTCACGTGAGGGGTTTGTACTGCCATTTCTCTTGAAGACCTCATGTGTGAATAAATTGCCAAGAATCTCTCAAATGGTAATATTTAATAGCTCCTTGTAAGAAAGATCTCCGAAAAATAATCAAAGAAGTGGAAAATGTCAATTTTACGACAAAGGATAATTATGAAAATATTATCGTTTTTTTTTAACCTAACGTTGTGTCTAATTTTCA